AAATTGAATGCAAAATCTATTCAGAGATACAATTCATACAATTGTACTATAGTTGCTGCTAACTAGGGGTGCCTTTACTGGGAGATCATTAATTAAGCCATTCTCATTGCACAATACCTGGTCCAGTACAAAAACAAAGTTGCTGGAAAAGCTCAGCAGGCCTGGCAGCATCTGTGGAGGAGAAAACAGAGTTAATGTTTCGGGTCCAGTGACCCTTCCTCAGAACTGGTCCAGTACAGCCTGTTCACTGGTTGGCTGCAGAATAAACTCTTCTAAATGTAACGATCCTGAAAAACATTCTCCTCGCTTGGAGCCTTTGCCCATCTGACTTTTCCAGCTGATTGAGAAATTAAATTCTCTCATGATTACAGCCACGCCTCTCTGGCCAGCTGTCATCCTTTCTTCCTGTTCCGTGCTACTGTATGGTTATTGTTAGGGGGCACGTACATCATTGCCACAAGTGACTTTCTGGCTTTTATTATTTCTCACCCAAACGGCTTCCACATCCTGGCTTCTTGAGCTTATTTCATTTTTCTGTACTGTGCTAAAAACATTGACAACTACAGCCAACTGCCACCTTTTCAGCACTTTATATCCTTCCCAAAATGTCCTGTACCCTTCAAAATTCAACTCTCAATCCATGTCATCTTCCATCCACAATTCTGTAATGGCAATCAGATCATTCATACTTATTCCTGTTTTGCTTCTTCAATCGTTTGTTTGTTTTAAATGAAATGTGCATTCAGATACAAAACCTTTATCTAAGACTTCCTTCAATTTAGTATATTGAATTCGTGGCTCACTATGCAGTCTCCTCTACTGTAGGGAGATGGAAAACAGATTGGGCGATCCCTTAATTATGAAACATCCCTCAGTCTGCCTGACCCCCAAGATTTCAGTTTGCTTTCCACTTTAATTCACCACTCATCATGCTTGCATTTCTGACCTTAGTCTGCTGCAGTGTTCCAGTGACACTCAATGCAAGCTGCAGGAATAGCACTTCATTTTTCAATTATATACTTTACAACCTTCTGCACTGAATATTGAGTTCCGCAATTTCAGACCATGAATTCTCCCATCCAATTTGATTTTTTTTTGTCATGTGTTGGTTTGAACTTTGCTATTCATTATTATGGCGATTACACACTCTGAACAGTGCTTTGTCTTCTTACTACAATTATGACCACTCTCTTTGCCTTTTGTTTAATGACATCCTTTGTCATTTAACCCCTCATGCCTTTGATCCCTTTTGATCTTACTTTAGCCACCTGTCCACTTTCAAAGCATATAACCCACCAGATTTCTACTCTCCTCCAGTTCTGAAGAGTCACATTGGACTTGAAATGTCAACTGTTATTCCCTGAGAGGCTGCCAGATCCAAGTAAAATACTAAACAAAAACAAAACACTGAAATTAATCACTGGTTTTAAATTCAAGTAAAGTCAAAATATTAAGCCTGCATTCATGGACAGCTCAATTCCAAGAAAATTCAAAATTCCATTTTTGACAGTGGCTTCTAGCTTTTGACATGGATGGAAAGGAAACTGGCAAGCATTATTTGCTTGAGTCAATTGGATTGATTACTAGTTACAAAGGAACGGTGCAGAATTTTTGCGACTAACTAAAAGCTGAACTATTTAACACTGTCAATGTAAAATTTACCATGAAGGCTAGGATGACAGCATGTGGCATAACAAAAATTATAAACCAGAATAAACATTAATATCTCTCTTTAATTAAAACACCGGGTATTTCTAATTGCAAAGAAAAAGAAATCACACCACAAACACATTTGAAAATATTTCAAAGCTTTCCCCTGGACGCAGGGTTAATATGCAGGTGTGAATTTACTATCTCTTCTCTGACCTCATCTTTCTGCTGAAAGACCGAGGCCTGAATCAGGCAGCACATATGACAAACCGTGCAAATTTGAAACAGTACATCTCCATTCTGAACAGCATTTGGGAGGATGGAAAGGGCAGAGAATATATTCTTGATGTGGACTTCAAAAGTCCATTTAAGAGTGGCTCTGTAGCACCAAGACTGACAGAGCTAGCTGTGTCTTAAAGTACTAGTTATCGGTAATGTGTTATGAGTGGTGAATCAATTGAGAAAAATCAGCTTGGCCTTCTCTCCACCAATCCAGCCATCACTGATACGTCTGTCTATGACAGTGTCTGTGGGAGTGACTACCCCACAGTCCTTGTGGAGACTAAGTCTGTGTCCAGATTGAGCATACCCTACATTGTGCTAAATGGGACAGCAACACAAAACTGGGTAACCAAAGGCAAAGTGGGCCCATCAGCAGCAAAATTGCATTCAGCTACATTTCTTAACCTCATGGCCAAGTATATTCCCCAAAATCCATCGCCATGTCAGAAGATCAACTCTGGTTCAAAGAAGAGTGCAGGAGGGCCCGCCAAGAGCAACACCAGGCATACCTGAGCCTGGTCTAGCTACACGACAGGAACATTTAAAATGTCAAATAGCAGAAGCAGCATGAAATAGACAGGACTAAGTGATTCTACAACCAATGGAGCAGATCTGAGCTCTGCAGTCCTATCACATCCAGCTGTGATTGATGGTGGACAACTAAACAACTAATGGCAGGTACAGGTTCCATCAATATTAGCAACAATGGAGGAGGCCAGCACAGCAATGCAAAAGACAATACTCAAGCAGTTGCACTCCTCTGTTACATGACAAGTGATATCATGAAATAGCAGATGCTCTGGGTGCTACAAAGTGTATGGGCAATGACAACATTCTGGCAATATTACTAAAGATCTGTGCTCCAGAATTAGCCATGCCCTAGCCAAGCTGTTCCAGTACAGCTACAACACTGACATCTACTCGACAATGTGGAAAACTGCATTAGTATATACCGCACAAATGCAAGATAAAATGTAGTAATTGGCTAGGTTTATTCCGAAATCAATAATAAAATAATGAAAGGGGTCATTGACAATGTTATCAAGCAGTACTTGCAAAGGGATAATCTGTTCACTGTGCTCAGTCTAGGTTCTACAATGGTCACTTCGCTTCTGACCTCATTGGACCAAGCAGGGACTGGCCTTGACGTCAAGACCGCAGCTGCCAAGCGTCAAGATTCGTTGCAAAATTGGAGTCAGTGCAAATCAGGATGAAAATTTTCTCCTCTGATTGAATTTTGTAAGACTCCAAAAGAAGATAGCTGCAATAGTTGGAGGACAATCATTTCAGCCCAAGACATCACTGCAGGAGTTCCTCAGCACAATGTTATAGGCTCAACAAACATCAGCTGCTACATCAATGACTTACCTTTAACACAGGGTCAGAAGTAAGAATGCTCAACACCATTCACAACACCTGAGATACTGAAGCAGGTAATGCCTATTTACAACGAAACACAGGCAACATCCAGGTTTGGGCTAATACATAGCAATTAACATTTACACTACACAAGTGACAATCAATGACCATTTTCAGAGAGAGATTGTGACCATCACCTTTTAATATTCAGCAGCCATCCCCGAAATCACTACCATCCACATCCCAGCCGCTATCATTGACCAGAAACTGAACTGCATTGGCTTTATAAATATTATTGTTACCACAGCAACTCAGGACCCATGTCATGTAACTCACTTCCCATTTCCTCAGTGCCTGTCCACCATCTACAAGGCACAAATCAGAAGTGTGTGAAGGAAAACTTTCTACTTGCCTGGATGGGTGCAGCTGCCAAAAACACGAAAGCTTGACATCATCCAGGACAAGGCAGCCTGCTTGATAGCACCAAATTCACAATCTCCTACACCGATTCCTTTCACCACCAACATACATTGGCAAAGGAACAGACCATCTACAAAATGTACTCCAGTAACTCGTGAAAACTCCTTATAGCTTCCAAAACCATGACCTCGAACACCGAAAAGTGCAAGGACAACAGATGCATTGCAACCTGCAAGATTCCCTTCAAGTCACACACCACCCTGACTTGGAATTATATTACTGTTCCTTCACTGTCACTGGGTTAAAATCCTCGAATTCCCTTCCTAACAGCATTGTTGGTACCCTGCACTCTAAGATCAGAAGTTCAAACAGGCAGCTCTCCAACATCTGCTCCAGGGAAATTAGGACTGGACAATGAATTCTGGTAGTCAGTGAACAAAGAACAAAAACCCTCCTTATATTACCCCCACCACACCAAACTCCTCTGTTCCATCTGAAACTAGTTAAATACCTTCTCCCTGGCAAAGCTAATATTACACCAGGCTGGAATTTAGTAAATCACACTAAAAACTTATTTCTGTTGTGCAGCAAGTCCTGTCTCCCAGCGGCACCGTAGGGTAGCTGGCTGGTACACCCTGCTTGGCAATCTTACATTTATTTACAAATGCACGATAACATGATTAAACATGTCTTAAGATTGGTACAGATGAAGAGCATCATTTTAACTACTTTAACAGATCTATCCAAAAAAAAAATCTTCAATTTCCTTCTAATCATGGCCATCCAGTTGTTTATTAAGTGGCACCATAGTTTTCATCTCTTGTCATCTACCCGGAATTCCATTCCATGCGTTGAGTACTGAGGTTGAGAACTTGTTACCATGAGCTAAATTTTCCTTTTATTAATCATAGACCCTTATTGTACAGTAGTTTTTTTTGTTCTTTTGCTTGAAGTTAAATATTTTCAGCCCTTTACTTGTTTTGTTTCTTTCGCTCATTCCTTAGAAGGCTGAAGTGCCTGCTTCTAGTGCAATTCCTCATAATTCAATGCTGGTGCTATGGATCAAACTTCTAGCCCTTCTCTGAATTTCCTCCAAGGTTTCAATGTGCTTTTTGGTTATATTGTTTCTCAGCAACACAATTTGTTGAGCATCAAGAATATTCACCTCAACATCATTTACATTCACTTTGCCTAGTTTCTTACATGGTGCACTTGGTCATATGAAATTTTATCTACCATTGTCCTGCTAACTTACCTATTTGCAAAAAGATTCAATTTTATTTGCAATTCTACCAAAGTAAAACATTTGGCAAAAGCTTGTGCTTAGTTTTGCATACAACGTTAAAATCCAATAGATTTTCAGTAACCAAAATCAGCTCATTACCATACCATGTAGTTAAGAAACTGTTAATCCAGTTACCTTGGGCTAAGTCACCTTGTGCAGCACCTGCTGTATCGCTAATAAAGCCTGAACAAACATTGTCAGAGGATAAGGAGGACTTGATAGAGCAGGGCTGTTTTGTCTGCACTTCATGGGATCGAGCAGGTTCTGGTGTATCACAGTTACTTGGGTCATCTTGAGCTGCAGCAGTTGCGTAATTATCTGTTTGAAGATCTGTAAAAAGAAAGAGTTTGCACTCTAAAGTATTTGAGAAACTCGACATTAATGGGAAAATTGCTGAGTCATCAAGAAGGTTAGCCTTCTCAAATTCTGCATCAGAAAAGCTTTTATTTCATTTGCTAATTCATGATAGATGATCTTAAGGAGCTAATGCAAAGACGCATATTGACACCTTGTTTAGCAGAGGGCACCATTTTTTGCAGAAGTTAAAATGAGATTCATTTTTTAAGAAGTTTAAACATCTTAATGCTTGAGTGATAAACTGTTCAATCAAAATATGTGCACTCACTTATACTGGATTCTGTATTCTTCAGTGACTGCACTAATGGATTAAGTAGCTTGCAAGCCTTTAGTTTGTTCTTGCTTGGTCTCCGTCGTCTGCCTGTAGGTGGCACAGCTTGCAAGAATCCTAAAGCTGTTGGCAAAGGTTTTCCTAAACGTCTATACAATTCCTCTATTTCGTGTCTTTGATGAACTTGAAGCTCTGAGATCTCTTTCATGTGTCTAAGAGAGAGTATAATAACTTTTTTTAATGACAAATTTTAACGGTTACATGATTACTGCAACAGCGATTGACTATAAAGGTTTTTCTAAGCGAGCAGTGCTTTAGTGTGTAAATGAACCCAGCTCAGAAAAATTGCACATGCAAACTACTCTGCATACACTGATGAATACATTTTAGTTTATTCTATGAAAACTTTTATTTCCTATTTGAGTTAATTGGCTACAAAGTTTGTTACTTAAATTTCCAAAATAATACAGATGAATAACTCATCAAAGCAGCTTAAATATACTTGAACAAAAACAGAAGTTGCTGGAAAAGCTCAGCCGGTCTGGCAGCATCCGTGAAAAGAAATCAGAGTTAACGTTTCGGGTCTGTGACACTTCCCCAGAAGGGGAATGATTTCTCTTCATGGGTGCTGCCAGACCGGCTGAGCATTTCCAGCAACTTCTGTTTTTGTTTCTGATCTACAGCACCCGCGGTTTTTTCAGTTTTTATATATACACTTGAATCCAATGATGAACAAACACACTTTTCTCGCAGTATCTGTAGTTCTTTTTTCACGTCAGCATCTTCAAATTCAGAGTCATTGTCACTGCTCATATATGATGACTGGGAAGGAGATGCAGACTTAATAGTTATGGTTGGGGGGGCTGCTGCTTGACCATATGCAAGTTCAGGTCTCTGCCTCTCAATTTTCAACAAAGCAGCTGATTTTCTTGATGAAGGAAATTCTCCAACTGTGCTCATCTGATTGCAAGCAACTGATGTTTGAACATTTGGTTTTGTACTGAATGGTTCATCAGAATCTGAAGACGGACGGCTGCGAAGCGTAACTTCCACTGGAACAGAGGTTTGAGTTCGAGTAACCAAAGGCTTCAAATCAGGGCTAGTAGGAGATGTATTTGAATAAAGCTCGGGAGGTGCAGAATACCTATTGCGATAAGGATATTTTAAAGTTACTTCATCTTTTGTGCTAATAACTGAAAATCTGCCAATTGTGTTAATTCTTGTAATGGACAGCAGCTTATTTTCCATTTTTTCTTTCTTCTGGTCACTTTCACCATTTGCTAATGATTGACAGAATACGTTTCCTCCTGGTGAACCTGGTGCTTCATTTGGCTTAGCTTCACTTTTTGCATAATGCTCAATTTTATTAACAATGTCCTGAGATGTTGGAACAACCTGAAATAAATCAGCAAACAATGTTACTCACAAGATCAGCACCATTTTAATAAATTGGGTCTCTGACAAATTAGTACATTTTACTATATCAATGCTTATTTTATTCAATTTCCTGAAAACAAATCTAAGAAAGACTGCAATTCTTGCTAACTCATTTTATTTTTATTTTTTCTTTTTCCCCTACCAGCTGTTAGATATTTTCTTTCTACCAGAAAGAGAGAAAAATTCAAAGTTTGTTCCAAATAGGTCTCATAGAACTAAACAAGATGGTTAATAGGCAACTTTATTTGGAACATAATGGATCCCTGTCTGTTATTCTGTATTCAATTCCTCTCAGAATAGATTAAATTTCATTTACACAAGAAACAGATCTGACAAGTGTGTGGGTTTAAAAAATTCAAATCTATATTACACATCTTTTTATATTTTAGTGACTTTTCCCCCTTTATCAATACATTATTTCATGGTTTTCTTTTACTAAAATACATGCACCAATTAATAAGATGGTCACCTTTCTATTCATCACCTGCCTACATCCCTTAAGATCAACAGCAAATATGTAACTATTATAAACATTCTACTGATCATCCTACAAATTGTGAATGATACTTACGATCTTAATTTTCCACTGACACGTCAACATAAACTCTACACAATGCAAACCAACATCAACCGAAACGTCAGCCTTTCTGCTCCTATGATGCTGCTTGGCCTGCTGTGTTCATCCAGCTCTGCACCTTGTTGTCTCAATTTTATAAGTAAGGGGTGCAAGATTTATTAAACAGCTTGAGAAGATTCGGGGGAAAAAAAAAATCCCAGCAGTACCGATAACTGATAGAAACAAAGAAAATCTCTCAAATGCAACTGGTTTGAATTGACTATACGAAAACAACAGGCCAGATTTTTCCGTGAGTGGCAATCTTGCGCAGATTGCCACATCGGCATTTTATTTTACCAAAGAAAGGAGGTCCTCATTTCTGAAAGGAGATTGGACTCAGGGCTCCCTTGGAAATGTGCAGCCTTACTTCCACTCTGACAGTCCTTACATAGCACAGAACATAGGAATACATACCACATCCCCTTTTCACAGCAGTCAGCTGCCACATTCTGAAAGGTAAAAGTCCTGACATTCACTACAAGTGTGATGTCAAAGATGCTAGAAGAGTTGGGTAGGGAGAGGGGGATGATGAGGGGAGTAGTGTGCCAGCTGTCAATGGGGTAGGGTGCAAGGTGGCAGTTAAGTGCATAGGGTAAGACAGAATGGGCAGAAGAAACTGGACTGGGAGGGCGAGCGAGCACGAGGGATGGGGGGTGAGGGAGGTGCGGGGGCCGCAGGGGCAAGGGAAGGGGAGGAAGAGAGGGAGCAAGGGAGGTGCCGTACGGGATCTGTTTTGTGGTTACTGAAGAGTTAGACTACACATTTAATACTCAAATGTTTCCCAGTAACCATTTAACTGGAATCACCTGAATTTTTAAATTTTTATGGAGATGTTTGTAGGGTTTTGGGCATAGAGGAACTTCCCAGCAGAAAATTCAATTTCTGGGCAATTCATTTGGACTCTGCTGTGACAGGATTTCTGCAGGATCCCTCTGCGTAACTCCCATCTACACTGGAATGACGACTGTTTGGCCATCAGAAAATCTGTCCCATGTTCATCTGAAAGTACACATACTTGCTGCAGTGAAATGTCAGTATAAGCACCCCATTACCCTGTTTAAAAAAAAGTGCAACACACAAGGGCAAACATGAAGCAAAAATATAAATGACAATTGATCCAAACATTTGCAGAACATTTAGTAATCCTTTGAGACATACCTCAAACTTGTCTATTGTTACAGGAAGAAGATCCACTGTTGACGACATAACAAACATTGTATCGGATGAGCCTGCCCTATTGATGTCAGCAATAGTCACTACAATATAACAGAAGTAATAGGTTTCTGGCATGATCAATATTTCAAGATTATCATGAAACTTAAATGATCAACTCATCAAATTTGAGAACTTTCACTGAAGGTCAATTTAGAGACCAGCCTGATACTAGATAGAAAATTGGCTGAGTGATTGGAAACAGATCAATAGTCAACAGATATTTTTTGGGCTGGAGGAAGGTTTGTAGTGGCATTCTCCGAGGATTGGTATTGGGACCATTGCCTTTCCTGATATATATTAATGATCTGGATTTTGATGAGCAGGAGACCATTTTCAAGTTTGCAGATGACACGAAACTTGGAAGAGCTGCAAACTGTGAGGACAGTGTAGAACTCCAAAAGGAAATTAACAAGTTGGTGGAGTGGGCAGATAGGTGGCAGATGAGATTCAATTTAGAGAAGTGCGAGGCGATGTCCTTTGGTCAGAAGAACATTGTAAGGCAGCATAAAATAGCAAGTACAGGAACAGAAACACCAGGGCATACTTGTGCACAGATCATTGAAGGTGGCAGGACTGGTGGAGAAAGCAATGAATAAAGCAAACAGTGCTGTCAGCTTTGTTAAGAGAGAAAGAGAGTACGAGAGCAGGGAGTTGATGTTGAACTTGCACAAAAAACTTGTTTGACCTAAACAGGGGTATTTAGTATAGTTGCGGATGTCACATTATAGGGAAGATGTGAATGCATTGGAAGGAGGGCAGAGCCAGGAAACAGCCTCTCAACATCTATCACATTTATCCCTCTAAGCATTTTATATATCAACGAGATCAGCATCCATTCATTTGAACACCAAAAATATAGGAACATTTTACTCAATCTGACCAAGGCAAGCATATCCTTCCTTGAGCAAGGAGAACAAAACTGTACATAGTACTACAGGTGTGGTCTCAGCACAGCCCTACATAATTGCAAGTAGACCTTTTTCCACTCTTACGGTCCTTTTGTAATTAAGGCTCACCTTCCACTTGCTAACATGATTGATTGTAACAGCTGTGCCAAATTTGTGATTTTGTGTACATCATGACCCAAATCATGGAGTATAAACATTTGTTTCTCTCTTACCTTTGAAATAATAACTCTGCTTTCCTATTCTTCTTAATGTAAAGTGAATAACTCTCATTTTCTCCATATCATGCTCAATGTACCATATTCTTTCCAATCACATAACCTGTCAAAATCCCTCTGCAGCCTCTCTGCTTCTTGCTTACTACTTACCCACCTAGCTTTAGGTCCTCAGTAAATTGAATACAAATTTTCGACATTGAGAAATATATATTCAAGGATCATGTGCTTACATCTCACAGATACAACAATATTTACCTCAGGCTAAAACTATATACGTAACGTAAGATGTGCAAGTGCTGCTCAAAGACTTGATTTGTTTCGTGATCCATTTCGCTATTTTGTTTGACAAATATAGCTTTGTTTGAAGAATATAAGTAACACTTTAGTTAGCGCACCTTGACCGTTTATAATCGATGCTCCTGTGGACAATTCCGTCGTCTGTGGTTGCACATAGCTTTGAATACACTCTTTAACTTCCAGCTTTTGATTCTGCAGAGCAAAGCACAACAAAAATATAGCATGTAGTTAATGAAACATGTAGTTAATGAAAACGATTAAGTATTTTAACAGAAATGTTTGCATCAAATAAAAGATGGATGAATTTACTCAAATCGTTTGAGGCTTTATTTGCCTTTTCTGCATTTCACTCACTCTTACAGATATACTACTGCATGCATACTCCAATCCTTGCTTCCATACAAAGTTTTGCTCTGGTTTTTTATGTCACTAATTTGTGAACTCCAAGTCAACAGTAACGCTAATCAGGTACCAGAAGATTTGCAGAACCACGATTAGCTAATTTAGTCATGTAATTTTTTTCCTGTCTTTTGACAGCACTCATTGCCTTTCAATGACCTTATTCAATTAAGAAGGGGGTTTCATTTTGATGCCCAAATCAATATTTATCCCTCAAACTCTACCAAAACAGATTCATAAAACAGCCTTTTGCAGGAACTTGCTGTCAGTCACGTTTGTGCACAAATTAACAGTAAAACCCTTCGAAAGCAATTTCAAGCCTGAAAATCAGAAGATGCTTTACATACACCACTACGCTCCCCTTCAATAAGCTTCTCAAATCATGGATTTATGAATGTGAAGCTGTTTCACATACCTGTTATTGAATAAACTTGACGATGGTAGTAAAGAGGAAAAATTAGCATAACAACAAATTACAAAAGCAAATGCAAAAAAAAACAAGGAATTTCAATGTTGTCTGCGGTCTTGCCATCAGCGGAGCACAGCTTGTTCAATAATGGATCCTATAGTTTGAGTGATGTTCTACAGTTTTGCAAACACAATCATAGCAAGGATATAAATGAAATGGAAAAGGTGTTATCAACTATGAAAGCACTGGACAAGACCATAACCTTTGCTGGAGTTGAGAAGATTAAGGGATGACCGAAAGGTAGCAGAGGACTTTATGTTAAGTGAGCAAAATCTTAAAATTAGAGTTGAACCATTAAAGAGAAAATAAAGGGTTGCTTTTCTACACAAAGTGTAGTGGAAGTGCAGAATTCTTTCCTCCAATATGCTGTAGATGTTGGATCAATTGAAATAATCAACATTAATATTGACAATCCTTTGTTAGGTAAGACCGCTGAAATTAGCACCTTTCCAGACATTAAAAAGCGGTCCACAGTCAATTAAATATTTTTCTGTTTGTAATGTAGATGAGAAAATCATAGGGTACATTTTAAAGGTGGATACGTGGAAGAAAGATTTAGTGAATTATTAACTCTGATTCCAACCTTCCTATAATGGATCTCTCTTCAAAATTAGGATTAAAAAAGATGAAAAACTGTTTCCACTTATTTGTCAGTGCATAAATATGAGATTAACGCAAACAAAATTAGCAGGAAAGTTAGATTAAAAATCATTAAACAGAATGGTTAGAACATTGAATTTTCTGCTAGAAATTAAGAGTTGAAGGAGAGTGCATAAATGAAATTAGATAGTTGCTTGCAAAAGAATATTAAAAATTATTGAGGAGAGTTAGACTAAATCAGACTTGTGCAAAAACAAAAAGAAAACACCAGCATATAACCAAACTGCCAAGTAGCCTCTCATATAACATTCCACAGCACTAGGTTTTGTGATCGAAATAACAATAAACCTAATGGTGTTGCCTGATTTAAATGTTGGATAAGTTGAGGTGGGCAGCATGTGTGTGATTAAAGATCAATAGTCTCACTGATATTGTCAAAGTTACACCACTCTATCATTAGGTCTGCAAAGACCGGGTTATTATCCAGTTCGTGAATGTCATGAATTGAATGTCACAAGTTGATAAATTTCCATGGTAGATATCAATTAAACCTGCACATAACCTCTCCGGCACTGAAAATTCAATATTATACATAAGAAGCATTCCTTTAGGTATTGGCAGGTATTGAAGATTTTTTTTTAAAATCACATTCTGATGAAAGGTCATTGACCCAAAATATTAAATTGTCATTTAAGTTATACTTCATAGATTATTAATTTCTCTAGTCTAATTTTTCCATTGGTGAAAAAATGTTTGATTATGATAGTAACTATTTACATATTAACAGAAATAACTTGGTGTACATTTTCTTTTAATCTGCAGTAGACAATAATGTACAAATGGACAGTTTGGTGGTTTAGTCAAATTTTCACATTTTGAAGACTTGGGAATGGTGGCGCTTGATTTCTAGTTACTGACCCACTGAATTGCAATAACACCCACAGACCTGTTAGGAAGGGAGTTCAGGGATTTCGGCCCAGTGACTGCGAAGAAATGGCAATTCCAAATCAGGATGTTGTGTAGCTTGGAAGGCCATTTGCTGGTTGTGGTGCTCACAGGCATATGGCTGCACTTGTCCTTCTAGATGATAGAAGTAATGGGGTTGGATGGTGCCATGGAAGGAGCTTTGGTAAATGGCTGCATTGAAACTTGAAGATGGTACACACCATCACTGTGTATTGGTGGTATAGGGAATGAACTTTGGAGGTAGTAGACAGCATGCCAATCAAGCAGATTGCTGTGTCCTGGATGGTTTTGAGCTTCTCAAATATAGCTGAAGGTGCACTCAGCCAGACAAGTAGATCAAATTCCAGAACACTTGTCACTTGGCCTGGAGATGGTAGGCAGGTTCTGGGGAGACAACAGGAGATTTATTCACTACAGAATTCCCAGCCTCCAACCTGCTTTAGTAGCCATGAAATTTATATGGCTTGTCCAGTTCAGCATCCGGTCAACAGTAAATCCCAGATGTTGGTGAAATGGAGATTCAGCAATGTTACTGCCATTACATGTCATATATTTCAACAATATCTGAATTTAAGATCTTCTTTCTTGAAGTTACAAGAATGCTGAGATTATGTTTTGTCTGAAATTCATGTTACCTGCAAACAGGTCAAGAATGGAAATTATGTATGTATAAAATTAAGAACCAATATATCATAGTCAATAGTTTTTGAAAAAAATCTAACAGGCTTTTAAAACTATTTCAATACAGATAAAAAGCTAAAAGGGAAATTTATCGATTTTACTCATCGTGAGAACATGGTAACTTTAAAGTTACACAAATTGTTGATCGGCACTTCAGAATTCAAACAGCAAAACAATTAAAGAGTTCTCCACTGATCACTTCTGCAGTAGGTTTCTAAAATAACTGCAGTTACAAAAGAGACTAAACTGTTACTTTTGATCAAGTATCAAATAGTTGTGATATAAACTGTGATTTACATATACAATTCAAATTATTTGTTGAGTTTGGGTTTCCGGTTAAGTTAATAATTGGTACATTTTCTGTGTCTGAATCAATAGTTAACTTGTAAGTATTTTGATAAACAGTGATTTCTTTCAGAAAAAGTGAATGGGTTTTGTGCAGTATTAAACAACTTTTCTTTATTCAGATTGTTTTGCGACCCAAAGAAATAACGGGGCCTCCAAATTTGAAGAGTTGAGGAACTTTTTTTTTAAGCTGAAAGGAAAAGCCCACAGCCAAGAGAGGGAAACCTTCTGTTTCAGTTTTGACTTTGAACAGGGTAGTCTTGTAAAGTTCTTACAATAGGATGCCTGCACAGGCTACTGTTCGTGAGACAAAAGGCTTTATTAGTAACTAGGTTACCTTAAATTGAGGAGTCAGTGCTAGTGAAAGCCCACAAGTGTTGGGATAAAAGCCTAAAGAGGTTACTTAAAGCAACATATATTTAAACAGGTGTATGACAGCTCCAGAAAGAAGCTATCACAGTTATCTTAGAGAAGCTATCCTCCCCACCAAAAAGTTGAAGCTACAAGTGGTTTAAACCTGTCAAGGTGTTAGATGCAAGGACTCTGGTGAAGTATTGTGCAAGTGGTGCTTTCAGTACAGTAATGGGGGTATTTTCAGTACTGTACAAATGCTGTTTTGTTTCTTTTCAATTCTTAAAGGAGTCTTATGAGTCCTGAACATAAAGGAGTCTTAACCCTAGCAAAACTGGAATCAATGTGTATCAGAGCAAACTCTCTGTTGGTTGGAGTCATACCTGGCACATAGGAAAATGGTTGTAGCTGTTACAGGCCAGTCATTTCAGCTCCAGGACATCTCTGCAGGAGTTTCTTAGGGTAATGCTGTAGGCCCAAACATCTTCAGCTGCTTCATCAATGACCTTCCCTCCATCATAAGGTCAGAAGTGAGGATGTTCGTCAATGACTGCACTACGTTCAGCACTATTCACGACTGCTCAGATACGGAAGCAGTCCATTTTCAAATGAAATACGATCTAGACAATATGCAGGCTTGGACTGACAAATGGCAGGTAACATTCATGCCACACAAATGCCAGGCAAAGACCATCTCCAATAAGAGACAATTTAACTACTGCCCCTCGACATTCAATGGTATTGCCACCATTGAATCCCTGGGGTTACCACTGACCATAAACTCAACTGGACTCGCCACATAAATACAGAGGCTACAAGAGCAGGTCAGAGGCTGGGAACACTTTGCTGAGTAACTCGCCTCCTGACTTCCCAAGCGTGCCCACCATTGACAAGGCACAAGCCACAAGTGTCATGGAATATGCGGTACTTATCCAGTCGAGTGCAACTCCAACAATATTCAAGACACCATCCAGGACAAAGCAACCCATTTGAATGGCATTGCAAGCACTCTCTCCACCACCGCTCAGCGGCAGTAGTGTGTACTGCAGAAATTCACAAAAGATCCTTAGACAGCAACTTCCAAACCCAAGATCACTTCCATCTTGAAAGACAAGGGCAGCAGATACATAGGAACACTACACTCTGCAAGTTCCCCTCCAAGTCACTCACCATCCGGACTTGGAAATATATTGCCGTTTCTTCGCCGGAACTGGGTCAAAATCCTGGAATCTCCCACCTCAGGGAACTGTCGGTCTTCCTACATCATGTGGATTGTAGCAGTTCAAGAAGGCAGCTTACCAACATCTTCTCAAGTGCAACTAGGGACAGCACATAAAAGCAGTGGCCAACCAGCAACCCACTTCCCATGAGTGAATAAAAA